AAAAAAAAAAAAAAAAAAAAGAACTTACTTAAAAACAAAACAAAACAAACCCCAGTGGTTTTATTAAAGCGTGGGAGAGAACACATGGGCAGAAAGAGCTGCTATATGGGGTTGTGAGGGGTGGCTGTTATATAACTGCGAGTTGGGGGAAGTAAAGAAAAGAGAGGTTTCAAAAAAGGATCGTCCTATGTTAAAGAAGACCCATAGGCTATCGGAGGCCTTGCCATTGTCAAGTTAAGGTAGTTTTTCCCTCTAGTAAGTCATTAACATGAAGACAAGAGCTTCCTGGAAGAATATCACCCATATCCCACCCAGGAAGGGGTGGGGGGAGGTTGTGGGGCGTCTGCTTGGGCTTTGTCCTCAGCTAGCCTTCTGCTCCCTCATCAAGATCAGGAGCTTATTTGACTTTAGTAAACCTAGGTAGAATAAAAGTTTCATATTTAATTTTGATAGCTCTAAAGACATGTCTATCTTAAACCCAACGAACTTAAATTAAAGTAGGTATCTTCCACCTGAGTCCACTTAGAAGTTAATCACTTTGTTCCCCATTGTCATTTTTACCCATGACACTGGTGGGGAAAACCGAAGCAAGTGATGTAAGTCCAATTGGGTGCTCTTTGCTCCTGGACGGCAAGGGGAGGAGCTAGTTATGCAGGCGGCACCCAAGGCAGTGCAGAAACAGGAGGGGGGGAGGGGAAGGCCGAAGAGGGGCAGGGCCTCCAGCCAGGGCTAGAGGTGGATAAAAACCCCAAGGACAGAGAGCGAAGACTTCTAGTTCTAAAGCTCACTCCCTGGGGCTGGTGAAAGGACAGGTTTTCTTACCACTTAAGTAGAAACAGGCAGTCCATGAAGGGGCCACAAAAGACAGAGAACTTCCCCAAAGCAAAGGAAGTTTGGCAGCTGTGTGGTAATATTCCTTAAAGTCCCTTTCTTGAAATAGTCTAACCAGAGACCATTGGTTCCAGTTATCATGCTGTTAACCCAGGAGATGAATGAGGGAAGAGCTCCCACATAAAAGAGAAGTAACCTGGGTCTATTAGGGGCAACAGTGACAGAGTCAGCATCCCCTTTCTTAGTGTTTCCTCCAGCAACCTGGGTTTATCTGG